TTCCATCAACATTTATAAATTATATTCAGTAAATTTGTATTCAAAATAAGTTTCTGTTTATTTAACTATCGATTACGAACACATATTGTAGTGTATTTTAATATAGGTATTGTTTAAACGGTATTACATAATTAGTTTTTAGCATTTGATTGATCAATATTATTGTGGGGCTTGTTTTACTCTTTTTTTAGTGTGCAGTCGGGTATTTTGTTTTTTTAATAATAATTTTTTTATTTATAACTTTTTAGCTGTTTTTATTTCGATATATACAAATAGGGATATATCGAATAAAATCGCTATTTAGAGACGACCGTCAACGACGTGTGCCCTCATGCGTGTGCCCGCAATCGGGCTGTATACTCGAGCATATCCCCCTCCGCACCGCGCCGCGCGCCGCATGCCAGGCCACGCCCTATCTTTTTGCTTGCTAACGCATGAGTTGCTTTGCGTTGACGCAGAATTAACATGTTCCCGTGGGAATTTTGAGAAAAAACGTATCCTATATTAATTACTCCCGTGATTGAAATGAATCTAATGATACCGCATACATATTTTTTTAAAGGGAAATTTAGAAAAAATATTATTATGTCTTTATCCCGTGGGACTTTTAGGATAAAATGTATCCTATGACACTCCCGTAATCAAGACAAATCTAACGATACCTCATACATCAAAATCCATCAAGCCGTTTAGGCTACAGGTGGTCACAAAGGAAAAGACATACATACATACTTACATACACTCGAAAAACATTACCCTCCTTCTTTGGCAGTCGGGTAATAATACAGCTATACATAATTATTATTCATTGTCAAGTGGAGCCAAATCAACATGCTATCAAATCCCCGATTCTATTAAAAGTATAGGCAGCGTATCTGCAATTGGGATGATTGCAGGGTATGAAAATTAAAAATCTAATTAGTCCGTAAGTTAGGTGATGAAAAAATATTAGACACGTATTTTTTTATTTTGTCGTATACTTAAATAAAACGAATCAAAGTTTACGAGTGGGGCTAAAACGTCATTTCTACGTATAAAATGTACATAGAAATGACGTCACGCGACATTCCAAATCAATTTATCGTCGAAAGTATTTGTTTCTGTAAGAAAATAAAAGATACGTGTCTAATGATTTAAAATAATATACGAGACGGACATTTAAATAAAAATTAGGCATCTACCCTATTGATCCAGTTTTACAGGCGAAGGTTAAAACTTAATAACTTTAATAATTCAATGAAATTAGTTTTACATAATTATTAAAATAGAGTCGAAATGAACCCGTGTCGAGGCGGTGGCAGCCAATTAAGATTATGCGAGATTTTTCCACGGAAACTTGAAACAGGTACATTTGTCATATTCGCGGAATTATCAAATGCTAGTTCCGTGGTTTTGCACTATCCCCGACGATTAGTTATGTTTACATGACAATAATTAATCTCTGAATCCCCGATTATGAAAAATCCACAACATTTGTTCATGCAAAAGTAGTCTCTTAGCATCGGAAATAGGGTCTATAATGGGGTAAGTGGAGAGCGGTCACCTGTGACCGCTTGGGAAGTGGGCTGCCACATCTAGGTATTAGACTTTTAATCCAACCATTAACAATAGCCACAAAAGGCAAGCCTTACTAAAGCACTCACAATTTACCAGGTATTGTGACGTCACAGCTTTTAATCGAGTTTCTAACATAATTATAACCTGTATGCAATTTACCGTGTTCTCGGAAACATATTGCGAAGTGTATTAATATGTAATTATTAGTTTAAAATCCTTATAATGACAACATAACATAATAGATAACATAACATAAAACATAACATAACATAAAACATTCGGGACGCTGAGTCTATCGCTATCTTTAAAAAACGAGTGAGAGAACACTACCTTTCCTCCTGATAAGTATTTTTTCTTCATTTATATGTATAATTTATAATTTGTATGTATTTATTTATATACTTATTGTATGTAGTTGTTACGTTATTTATCTGTTTAGTTTTAAGTCTGTTTCCTATCCCAATTTTCTATTTGTTGCTACACACTGTGTCACTATATTATTATTACTTTTCCTGCTCCAGGTCCACAGGAAGAAATTCCAATAGGAATAGGTGGTACCTTTGTACTTTAATTTTATGTATGTGTTGTCCTTTATGTTGTATGTGTGTACATCAATAAATAATAAATAGATTATAATATTTTTTTTATTCCCATATTACTATAGTATGATTTTTATTTAATGTTATTGTAGGTTCCATTAAAATCCCTACCATATACAGTGAACTAATTGCCAAAAACTATTACCTACAATATAATCACTTAAATGAAGTTGAATGTCCTAGCTAGACCTAGAATAATGTTCATTTGTTCTAGTTTATGACATTTTAATAAGAGTCACACATTCAAAGCACGCTATGCTCTGGTTCAATTACCCTTCTCCTCAATCTCCCCAATCTCCAAGTCACCAACAATCCTCAAATTCCTTATCCCCAAAAGGCCGGTGAGGCACTTGTAACACCTATTTGGGATTTTTTTTAAGGGGGCAAAATGACTGTTCCCGCCTGGGTGAGGCGGGAGGGAGTGTCAGACTCTTACTGACTAAAAACCACCCCGTTCCTTCTTCTGCACGTCGAGCCGGAGCCCCGGTTACCCCCGGTTACCCCCGGTTAGGTTCTCCGCGACACCTATTTGGGATAGCTTTTGTATTAGATTTACCATGTTTTAAAATTAGCAATCAGTAGAAACAAATACATAAATTGGATTCATTTTTCTTTTTCCAGGTCGAAATGGAAGAAATACCATATCACCCGTTGATAACGGTGACCCCAGAGTCTGTGAAGAAAGTGCGACAAATGTGCGAAATTGATGATGTACAGAAGATCAAGGACTGCTTGGACATCATTGAAGAATGGATTAGCAAACAGGATCATCTTGTGGAAGCCAGCAAATATATAAGTGAGTTAATTGGAATAAATGAGGAGACTATTTTCCGGCCGTTGACGTGTTCTGACTGTTGATGATGATGACGAGGGAAATAAATATAACTGTTGGTCACACAGATGGCGCTTTGACCGATTTTAGTCCTCCTGACAGTTTTATCACTGTCTGCACAAAAGTATGAGTACTTATTTACAGTAAAGAGCCTGATCTTTTACCTATTTTGGATATATTGATATTTTGGATAAAATGGGCAAAACGTCTTCTTGATTATGAAGTATCACTGTAATATATGTACAGTAGAACTAAAAATTTGGGGCAAATTCTGAATAACAGAATTGAATAAATTTGGACTTGTTCGGTGTTTTTAATAAACGCCTGTATTGATATTTGGCTAATAGATGACACTAGTAGTGACTTAGGTTAACCAAGAGTCTACATGGCTTTTCAGAACAAACCTTATTAAAAATTTCCTTCTAAATTTCAGCAAGGAATCTTCTAGAACGAGTGTTCCTGATAGCAAAGGGTTCCACAGAAGGCACAAAGCGAAGAATTGAAAGGCTGCTGACATCACGAGGGATGATGCCAGAACTCTGCATGAACAGGACTGTTGAAGAATTTGAAACACAATGGGATGTTGTGTGAGTGACTTCAAAATATTAACTAAGATAAAAGTGCTGCTTTTTACTTGGAGATCATACCTAACCCTCCTATGTAAAGTAGGCACATAATCCAGTAGTAGGTTACTAGACTGATGTTGTTTCTGTAGTTGAATATTTGCAAATGCTACAAGTGAGTCCCATATTAAATGTTAAATCATGGCGCGAACTGAATATTTGGATGCGATGCTGTCATGTTTTTGTTTCGTTATGATAACGGAAACAAAAATGAGGCGAAACGTTTCGCATGTACGTAGGACATAGCCGCTGCATCGCACCGCATTGCATTGAATTCGCATGTCTTCCATTCATAATCGCGTTCGCTTCCAGATCGCTCACGCAGGACGTAGCCTTTTCAAGGCATTTTTTAATAATGTTTGTCAAGCCCGTACACTGACTGTGCTATTCGTGGTATTCACTCGTACGGTTAATGCATAAGTGCAATTAGTATAGGAGTCTTTTCAATAATTTATAAGTGATCGACACACAATGGTCCGAACACCTGATACCATAAAACGTTTAAATTGAACATCGAGGTTTATAGCCATACAAATAGTATCTTATTATGAGTATATGATTGAGGCTCTTGACTCGGAGCTTTGCCAAACTATTAAATTATGGATCAGTTCATATCAACTGGTTTTAAAACAGGTTTCACAAGTTAAAGAAATACACATTAGTAGCCTGAGCAGAGATTTTAAAATTATAGTGATATTATTAGAAATAATATAAAGTTGAGGAACAATAGTTTTTACTTCTAACTATTTTCAATTATATAATGCTGTAGGTGTTCCACTTTAAGTAACAATTTTAGAACAAAATCTCTAAAAAACATAATTTTTTCTTGATCCAAAAGTCAAGTAGATCTCAATCAAACCCATTGATTAGGATCGACTGTGGCTCTATCACTTGTAGCCACTCTATCAACAAGGTTATCTTCAAGTACAGGACTGACCGTTAAGTTATCCTTTCTTATTATTTCATTCACACCTTCTTTTAACACTTCATTCTCAAGTACGATTCTTTTTTTGCAATTCGGATATTGGTCTTTATTTATATGTAGTATTAAATTTGAAAATGCCATTGACCTTTTATGTAGCCTTAACTGTGAAAATTAATTGCACTGATTCAAGTCAAGTATTTACAAGTGTCTCATAAAAAGTTTAATAATAACATTTCATAAAAAAAATGTTTATAACACATTGTAGTAGAGGCAATGTTCATGCAAAGACTACAAACATATTATGAAATATAATATGGTTGTATATTTAATAAGTTGAATTGAGTCATATGTAGATACAGTTATGGACTTGATCATAGAATTTTGAAAGAAAGAAAAACAGTTTATTTGCACCGTTGCAGAAATTAATCAAAAAAAAACCAGAAAAATAGTTTTAAAAAAAACAGAGCAATGAAAAACAGATCAATGTACAATATAATAATGTGCACAAAATTGGAAATATTGGTGTAAATTCAGGTGTCTAAACTCGTTGGAGATTTTTTACGATAGAATATGTTTTTTAGAATTGGGTAAGGCTTTCGACAGTAACATCTTTGTGAATAGTTAAATGTTCTTTAGATACACTTTTATCTATTTCGGTAACTATGTGAAACAGGTGGTCTATATAATATAAAAAAAAACTGCTGTTCGTTAGTCTAGCTAGTGAATTCCAGGGAAGGTTTAAAAGGTGAGCCATTCGCTAGTATGAAATAAAATTATGGTATAAAATATGAAACAAAACAAAGCACTTATTTAACACCTTAATAATGTTGAAGAGAAATGAACTAAATGTATGTATGTATTTTTCTATAATTTCCAGACACTACGTTCCCCTACCGAAGCTGCATCCAGTAGACCAGTCGAGGGTAATGGTGACCCAGTTCCTCACGGAGAAACTGGATCCTTTCAACATTCTGTCATACTTCAGATATTGTTTTTTGGTAAGCCATTTTGAATTTAACCTACAATAGAGATGTCGACAGGGTATGAAAATTAAAAATATAATTAGTCCGTTAGTTAGGAGGTCTTGAGAAAATATTAGACACGTATTTATTTATTTTGTCGTATAAGAAAACAATACTTAGATAAAACGGATCAAAGTTTAGGAGTGGGAGGTAGCTACGTCATTTTAGAGTATAAATCGTACTCAAAAGTAACGTCATGCGATATTTCAAATCAATATAATATCTTCAAAACTATTCGTTACCGTAAGAAATACATTCCTAATGTTTTTGAATAATCTACCAGACGTGCATAAAAATAAAAATCAGTCATCTCCCCCATTCCGTTGCACTCCAACCCATCTACCATAGTGTAGATATAAGGACAAACCCTTTTTAATAGAGGAGTTTCATATAAATTATGTATTTGTACAGTAAATTGTAACATGTTATTGATGTTTATATTTATTGTAACAGTTGTATTGACATGATACTACTTCTTAGGTGGAGTAGTCGGTAAGCGACTATCTTCTTAGCCGTCTTGGGTTTCGATTCCTAAGAAAAATATTACTGTGCTTTTTTGTCTTAAACAATTTTCAAAAATGGGCCCTGATCTGACTATGACATAACTGATGGAACTGCTTCAGCTCGGGATGTCTTGCGGATAGTATGATGATGATGCTGAATAAGAAAATGATTCAACAACACGATTTCTTCTTCTTTCAGATCGGAGAGTACAGAATCAACTATGACTACACACCCTCAGAGCGTTTCGTGATTGATCTCACAAACATACACTTTGGTCTACTCGGTAAATTGAACCCTATTACTATCAAGAAATCTGAAGTTTTATGTACTGTAAGTATTAAAAGATTTTAAGTTATTAGAGTCTAAGTTACAGTTGCACGAAAAGCTTAAACCATCCAACTTAAATCTGTGGGGATTGATTAAAATTTCGGAAATTGGAATGGAATGGAAATAGTATTGAAGTCGTGGAACAAAAGTTGGTAGTTGGTATTTACGACCCAAGTAATTCTTGTAGTCCTGTAAGTTTGTCAATCTGTTATCAATATCCCTCTAAATGATTGCACTGTTGGCGTAGTGAGTGGGCAACTGATGAAAAGCAATGTGTAGCGGGTTCGATACTCGCACGGATCAACTCTTTGTGTTATCCAAAAATTGTTGTTTCGGATATGGGTGTGATGTGTATGTGAACTTGTATGTTTGTGAATGCACCTACGACACAGGAGGCAATCCTAGTCTGGGGCAATGCTAAAAACATATCCCCCAATTACTGGTTCAACGAAGTTCATATATTTGTCATCTCTTGACAAACTCAATATAGTAATAAAATACTTATTTGAATTCCAGGAAGGTATCGGAACAAAAATCAAGGGTATCCACATACTGAACGCACCTCCCTTTATTGATAAGCTGGTTTTCATCCTCAAACAAGCCTTGAGAGAGAAGGTAGCCAACAGGGTTCACGTCCACAATTCTTATGAAGACCTTCAAAAGCACATTCCAAAGGAAATCTTGCCTAAGGACTATGGTGGCGATGACCAGTCTGTGGCAAAGCTGAGTGGTGAGTACCAAATTTAACGATTTTCTGTAATAATAATTCGACTGCACGATTGGCGCGGTGGCTGGGCAACTGGCTGCCGCGCAACGTGTCGCGGGTTCGATTCCCGCTCGGAATAAGTCTTTGTGTGATCCACAGATTGTTGTTCCGGGTCTGGGTGTCATGTGAATGTGATATTGTATGTTTGTAAACGAACCCATGACACAGGAGAAAATCCTAGAAAGGGCAATTTATTTTTAGAAAAAAAAATATTCTCCATCTTACAAATTAATACATACATTCATCCTTTTGCTTTTCCGATATGAAAAAGAATTGAGGCTGGTGTCAATAACATAACTTTGATCTTGAGGCTAAGGACTTAGGCTTTTTTTTAAGGGGGGAAAATCATCAAATGACTGCTCCCGCCTGGGTGAGGCGGGAGGGAGTGTCAGACTCTTACTGACTAAAAACCACCCCGTTCCTTCTCCTGCACGTCGAGCGGGAGCCCCGGTTACTCGCTAGGTTCTAAGGACTTAAGCTAAGGACTCACGATACGATTTACACCCACGCCCGCCATTAGTCTGGAATTTAACTGATTGTTTAACTGCCCGTCTTGTGATAATCAACCGCCGCGGTGACCGAACGCGGATCAAAAGCACCTCGTGAGCCCTTAGCTTTAGTGTTTATATGCCTCTGTGAAGTATACCTACGATGACGTCATTTCTATCAATATCATCATCATCGTCATATCAGACCAAGTCTACCAACGGCTGCATATGAGCCTTCTGCTTTGTCTGCCATATTTTGAGGTTTTGTATATCCTTAATTTATCTGTTTCTAGCAATTTTGACAACATCGTACACCCAAAGCACTTTGGATCAATTTAATAAAAAAAAATCCTCTCAATATTTCCAGAACGATGGAAGGAGACCCTGCGAACACCGGAAGCAAGACAATTAATAAAAGATGCAGAAAAAATGGTCAGTGATGAATCAAAACGACAGACTGCCAAATTCAATGAGGAATACATGGGGATGCCTGGATCATTCAGAAAATTAACAGTAGATTAAGTTCCTAGTTCTAATATTCTAGTATATTATTACACATACCTTTGTGTTTTTGGAGAATGGAAAAAGAATTTATAAGGTTATAGGTAGACTGTTCCAAAAAAAGCGCGAAGATTCATTTGATGTGATCATCATCATCAACCTGTATTCGTCCACTGCTGGACATAGGCCTCTCCAATGGCACGCCACTGAGCTCGGTCTTCAGCTCTTCTCATCTAACTACTACCAGCCACCTTGCAGTTGTCGTCACTCCACCTAGCTGGAGCGGGCCCTACACAGCGTTTGCCTTGACGCGGTCTCCACTCTAGAACACGTTTACCTCAACGGTTATCGGTTCTTCGACAAATGTGACCGGCCCACTGCCACTTCAGCTAACTAATCCTTTTGGGCTATGTCGATAACTTTGGTTCTCTGTCGGATCACTTCGTTTCGGATTCGATCCTTCAAAGAGTCTCCCTCTCGATAGCTCGCTGCGTGACCGTAAATTGGTGGACCAGTCGCACTGTCAGTGTCCACGTCTCGGCTCCATATGTCATTACTCCGCACTCGTTGAAGACTTTTGTCTTCAGGCTTAGGTAGCAGGATGAATTCGATAATTTTCAATCCTCATTAAAAGTCACAAAGAAAAATATAGAGGGACATTATCCTAAGATCGAAGAGAAGAGATTATACCTCTTATAATTTCCTTAGACTAAGACTGTTTATATGCCTAGGGCTACTGGTTGTCTAATCAAAGTCAAAATTAACTACTGAAGGAACTTGGAATCAATCTAAATGTTTGGCAAGAACTAACGATTTTGAAAAAAAAATGCTTATTTAATTTTAGTTAGTCCGTCTCTATAAATATACTGGAGATTTTTATATACAAGCATAGCTATACTATAAACTCTTTTTCCATTCTCAATGACATTTTCTTACCAGGGATTATATTAAATATTTGAATTTCACAACAATTCGGGAAGATTGCTAATTATCTGGCTTGGATATAATATATAAAACCTATTGTATACATAGCAGACACATGGACATGGATAATATTTGACATTAATTTAGTTTGTAAGAATGTGAATATTTAGTTCGGAAAAAATGTAAGTAGGTAATAATATAATTATATTATAATATTTTTATCGAGTTTCAGTTGTTTTTTTTTTTAATAAAATAAGATATTATAGTGTACCTTTTTTCTTCTTGAGATGTCTTTGTTGACTGTTTTATTTGGTTACTGGGTAAGATGGTAACAAGATGACTTTAGAATAGCTTGGATTTTTGAAATCTAATCTACAAAATATCGAGTGGTTTTTACCACGTATTTCTATCTCAGTCTCTTGGTATTGATATGTGATGATATAATTTTAAAATCATGCGATAAAATAGGTGCTCAATTGATGTAGAAGTGCCATAAAAAGGTAAGGTTAACAGAATCATGAAGGGTAATGAAATTTATGATAGCATGCGGTTAGGCAGGGGAAATGGGATAAAAAAAAATTTGTTACCCTGAATGGCTTACCACATTTGTAGGAAAAATAATATCTACACCATCTACTTATAGTGAGCAGATATAAAAGATGCAACTAGAGAACATGGACGTCACGCTGTGAACTGGATACTTCTTGCATCAGAAAACTGATTGATACATTTTATCCTGGAGGTTAGCGGTCTTTGCATCGAGGAATTTGAAGGCCAATCTACAAAATTTAACATAAGTATCTGGATGACCGAGCTTTACTCGGTGTTTTTCTTAGTAAATATTTTTTTAAAATATGGAAAAACATAGAATAAAACACAAAAAATACAATAGAACAAAAGATAAAGTAGAAAACAGAATAAAATAAAGGAACATTCGTGCTGAGAATTATTGAACTCGAAGGACCTGCGTGAAAGGCACCTGATTTTCCGACTATTTAACTTGTTGTGTACCGTCATTATAGACATTAAAGAACAATAGGTTGCGGTCACCGGTGTCCTCGCGGTGTTGACAGTTTAAACGTTATTGGTAATGGCAAAATTTTCTTTCGTATTCTGGTCATATTATAGGATGTTTTTATTCGATGAAAACAGGGACAAAAAAACAATTTCTGAAAATGACCTAGGAAAACCCTGGCTAGATCGATTTCTCGCTCCCAAACCCCCATAAATGGAGCCGTTTCCGAGTAATTACTCGTTTACAGATAATCTAAAATAAATTAGATTAGGTATGTTTTTGAGGGGGAAAATTATCCAATGAATTCTCACACCTTGAGCTAGGCGAGAGGGAGTGTGAGACTTACTGACTAAAACCCACCCCGTTCCCCGGCAACTTGTTGTGCCTTCCGCGGCAGATTAGGTACGTTTAAAAAAATAATAAGTGTAACAGAGAAAGCACAATAAACAAAATATTTTTGCAGAATGACATTCTACGCTATAATTATAATTACCTACATACATTTTTACGATGACTTTAATAACAAAGTGAATGAAGTTATTGTAATTAAAGTAAAGATTAGGTTATTTATGAAAATTGAAGGTTATTTTTTGCATATAAACCGCTAATATTCAAATAAATATGTTTTTAAGTTTTTAAAATAATTATTAATTATGATAAACATTATCGTCACAATGCGATTTTTCTCTCATTCTTACATCATCGCATTGTTCTAGTTTTTGCAACGTGTAGATATTTATTGTTCATTTTTGGGAACTCTGTTTGTCCTTATTTGTTTTGGGTTCCGCCTTTGAGTATAAAATAAAATAATACAACCTCTTCACGGTTGAGAGTTTGAGACTTACCTACATTAGATATTAATGTCGATTCTAAGTCTTGTTAATACACATGGGTCATACTAGATGGCGCTAATTTACAAAAATGTCATTTCATTACCTTCTATAAAGTTCCATAGGTATACCGAGAGGTATACGTATATAGACAGTGACGTCATACAGTCAACAACAAAAACATACTAAAACTACGTTTAAAAAAAGAATTAGACCCTCCTTTTGAGTCGGACCCATGTATCCCCAAGCGGCCACCGGTGACCGCTATCCACTAACTACATTATAGACCTTATTTTCAATGTTTAGAGACTACTTTTGTACAAATTAAGGGGATGATTTTCAACGGGTTAATTAATATACTAAAAACTTTTCCTAAGTATACTGTGTATAAAAGATCTTTTCAAAAATCGCATCAAAATCGGTTTAACTAACCAAGTTGGAGCCGCGGAGGTCAGGCATCAGCTCTATTGACCTCAAATCCTGTTCCCTAAAGGTGAATCTTGAAAGATGGCAATTATTATAATAGCGTTATAACACAAGCTAATTTGCTGGCAGGAGCCAGTTTATTATATGTCTTGTACAGTACCCTGCAATGCCTGTTTTCTGAGCAATTATACAACAGACGCAGTTAATCATAATTTGTATCAAGAGTAATTATTTTCATCACAAATAAATTGAGGGCCTAGCACAAGTTTTATAATTCTCAAAAGTTTTTTATTGGTTTGTTCACTGTTTCTCTCAGTATTAAACACCGAAACTAAAACCGAATCGAAACTAAAATCTAAAAACAATATATATATATATATATATGAAACAAAGAACGAGATAGAAAAAACAATCAAGTGCGTATGCCCAGGCCAAAAGGTCGTCCACCTCAGCATATAGTTGAGCGTTTCTGCCTAACGCTGTGCTTTCACGATCTTCTGTCAACATAGAATCTATAGAACATTTTTGTAGTACCTATCAATCAAATACATCAACATACTAACAAAGACAAATGAACAACTAAATAAAACACAGTCTACGCCTCCATTCTCATTAAACAATAATGGTAGCCAGTTTTTTTAAACATAAAGATTATTCTCTGATAACAGCATAACTATGCGTTCAAAGGTTTCAGTTTAAATTGAGTTCTGAACACGTTCAGTACGTTTAAACAAAATGGAACATTTAAAAGATACTATAATTTTGAAATTTAACCCAACGACGATAGAAGAGGTTAGACAGGAACTGAACCTAGATAAGAAAAGCATTGAGCAGATGCTCGATTATTTTGAAGAATGGATTGCTAAACAGAATCATTTTACTATGAAAAATTTCAGTAAGTATTTAGTGAATGTAGTCATGAAGTGCCATGTGGTATTGGCAGAGTAGATACAACTGTGGCAGAGCCATGCTTCGGCACGAATTGGCTGGCTCGATCGGAGTGATACGGCGGATGACGGCCTCACAGTAATCCGACGTGAAGCAACGCTTTCGTTGTGTTTAGTGGCGTGAGTGAGGTTATTGGAGGTCGCTTCACTCACCCTCTGGTGTTTCAAGTGTCCATGGATGGCGCCGATTGCTTACCATCAGGTGAACCGTCTTCTCGCTTATCGGCTTATTCCATAAAAAAAGATTTTTCACTGCCCAGTGCGAATACTCATCTTGTGGGTTTTGTAAGAATGGACCAAGACATTTTCAACAAAGCCCGGATAAGGGTGCTCTCCGAAAAACCTGAATCCTTTAAAACGTAATGTCCAGCACGCCTCGCAAGGGCGATTATGACAAATCGCTCTTATATAGAACATACTCATCATCCAGCTATTGACTGCCATCATCATTATCAACAGCCTATAAAATGTCCACTGCTGAGCAAAGCCTCTTCTCACATGGATAAGGTTTGAGCATTAACCACCACGCTTGCTCAATGCAGGTTGGCGATTATAAACTTATAATTAGAAATTATAAGCCTAGGCGTCCTTACGATGTTTTCCTTCACCGTTTGTCAGTGGTGTCTGAATAATCTTAGAAAGTACATATAACTCGGAAAAAGTCACATTGGTACTGGCTGTTGGTAGGTTTCGAACCCGCACCCTCATGCATGAGAAGTGGGCGTCTTGAACCTCCGAACCACCCCGACTTTTTACTGCCATGACTGCCATGGGTTGTTGGTATAAAAAAATGCCACCATTATTAACATCGGCCCGAATTGGTCCACTGCTGCGTAATGGTCTCCCCCTTAGTCCTCCACGTCGAACGATAATTCACCACTTGTTATTCATTGGCTTCCCACTACTCTGACGATGTCGTTGATTCTGTTAGCAGGAGGCCTGAACTATAAATTATCTAACAATTCATCATTTTATGTTCCAGGTCGTCCCTACTTAGAATCCTCCATAATTAATGCTAAAGGATCGTTGGAAAGAGCTAAAACTGCTTTAGACAAATTGTGCACTTGGAAAACTTTATTGCCAAAATATTTTGAAAAACACAACTACAAGGATGATGCGATGGACACAAGTAGTGTTATGTAAGTATATAATATCAAAGATCTTACATTTTGTGGAAAAAGTATTATCGTAACATTTAAGGGACCTAGTTGCCAGTAGTTGCCAAACTTGATATTAAATCATTTTATTTTAATTACACCAAGACATTTGAAAGTATTATGTTACATTACATTATATTACATTACATACTATAACTATTTATTTTTATTTATTTAATAATTTATGTACACACAAACAACACAGAGGATAACACATATATATAAAATAAGAGTACAAAGGTGCTAATTATTCCTGTTGGAATTTCTTCCAGTAGACCTGAGACAGGAAATGTAATTAAAATATAAGACACAGTGTATAAAAGAATATAAAAAAGATAAGACATATGCATAAAACTATATTTTAACTATATTACATTGTGTCTATGTAAATTGTACATATTATACTAGAGGCTCATATTCATGAGCAGCAGTTCGCGACCCGCGACGCGGCGACTGTCGCGCTGATATTATAACTCGGAAAAAGTCACATTGGTACTTGCCGTCTAGCGAGCGTCTTAAACCTCCGGGCCACCACGACCATATCTCATAATCTCTTCTGATATAATTTCCTTCTTTTTTCAGTATGCATGGGACATTACCGAAGCTTCTGAAGAACAATTACAGGGTATACATTGTGAGAATCATATCATCTGATCTTGGCGCTGAAATGCTGCTAAACTACGAAAGGGCTATGATTTTAGTGAGTGCTAGCTGTACCTGCAACTTCGTCTGCGTTTTTCTAAAGAAAAGCCTATGTTACTCCTTAGTACATCAGCTACCTGCCAATAAAAGTTCCGTCAAAATCGGACCAACCATTTCAAAGATAAGCCAGTACAAACAGACAGACAGACAAAACATTTAAAAAGTGTTGTGTTGGTATATTTGTATCGTGAATTCATTATAGAGGTACATGTAGCAAAATGTGGTTAAGTACTTCAATATAACAAACAGATATTCCAATTTTTTCGGTTAATGAGCAGACGGAACATATTCATATTCATATCTTTATTATGGATCACCTGATGGTAAGCAATCGATGCCACTCACTCACTCACACAACCACACCCACTCAAAATACTATAGGAGTTACAAGAGCGTTGACTTTGGGGGCTAGGGATTTGAGAGTGAGGGATTTAGGGATTGTGGAGATTGGGAAGTGGAGGAATTAGACCTCTCTTTTTAGAATAATAATAGGTTAATACAAAATTGTAATGGTTTCAGATGAGTGAATATGTAAAGCTCCATGACTACCGGCTGGGTTACGTCATCGTGATAGATTGTAGAAATATAAGCATAGTACAATTGGTCAGCAATATAAATATTTTAGAACTGCGTGAAACGTTGTCTATATTGGTGGTAAGTTATCAAATATTAATTACATCTAAAAACTGTTCCATTCACCCCAATTAGAGCGCCTTCACTCTAGCGTTTGTGCAGCGTAGCCGTTCGATGAACGTATGCGCCGCGCAGGCGTCTACGTCAACGCCTGGGCTGGACAAATGCTGTGAGCATTTATAGGCTGACAAGTGCAAAGGCACTCCTAGATGAAGTAATTGGAAATATGCCAAGGTTGAGTTTTCGGGTACGATTACCAACCTTTTTGCTAGAAACGTTACGAGTCCTTTGTAAATAGTAGACAAGTCGATGTCCACAAATGGGACATAATGTCAGATTTTGACCTACGACTAAAAATGTTGAGGAACTAAAATCTAGAACTCTTACGACGAAATACTTAAACGCTACTGAATATTAAACTGTCAAACACCAAGCGGTCACCGGTGACCGCAACCTATTGTTCTGTAATTATTCGGAGTCGCGGAAAACTTAACGGGTAACCGGGGCTCCGGCTCGACGTGCAGGAGAAGGAACGGGGTGGTTTTTTGTCAGTAAGAGTCTGACACTCCCTCCCGCCTCACCCAGGCGGGAGCAGTCATTCGATGATTTTCCCCCCTTAAAAAAAAATTGTTCTATAATTGTGTCTACAAAACCGGTACTCGTCGCGCTTAAATATAGTTCTGTCTCTATAAAGTCTATGCAAAATGACAGAGACAGCATGATATTTAAGTAAAATTTAAAATTGTTCCTTCAGTATTCGGACGTCCTTAGTCGTCTTCTTCTTCGAAGTCTTAGCCGGGGATTAATCTTGATCTTTACACAACAGTCAGGAATGAGTAGATAATAATATTATCATTTGACATTATTTGACCCAATGACAATATTTTAATTAAACAAATGAAATTTGTCACTTTTTCTAATGCTTATCTATCCCAGGATGGCTACGCCTGTCGTATAAGGGACGTGCATGTAATATCGGAGTCTAAAACTGTGGAAGTACTTACATCACTTCTGAAACAAATCCTAAGTAACAAATTAGCTGGAAGGATCAATGTGGTGAAGACTGTAGAAGAATTGTATAAATATGTACCCAAAGATATGTTGCCTAAGGACTATGGAGGAACCGAAGTTACTATGAAGGAGATGCATGGTTAGTATTGATACATAACCTAGTACTTGATAAGGATAGTAAAGAAACACACAATTAGGTAAATGTTATTACACTTATTTTGTTGACAGTTGTAAAATAGGTTCATAGTTGGAGGGAAAAACACAATCTAACTGAACCGAACCCGTTTATTAAACGTATTGCATATTGCTCAGCTCAGCAAATGCTCTTAGGGGTACGTTGCTAGCCACGTCGCAGTGAATCAAAGCTATAAGACGTGTACTGCTAAACATAGGCCTCTCCCAATGACCTTCAGATCACATGATCGGAGAATTGATTCGATCAAATAGAAGATGAATTATTTTCCTATTGAGATTATCCTATTGAAAATGTCATGGGAATTTGAAGGTTTTAAGAAAAACTAACCAGGAAATCAATCGCAGTTAAACCGATCAACAACAACAGGAAATCCTTACTTAATATTATAAATCGGAAAGTGAGTTTGTTCGTTTGTTCCGCTTTCATGCCGTAACTACTAAACCGATTGCTTTGAATTTTTGCAGACGTAATGTTAGAAGTCCGGATTAAATAATAGGGTACTTTTTATCCCAGAAAAATTTGATATTCCCGAGGGAAAACAAAAGTATTGGTATAGATGGCGCTGTGTGTATTGGTATATGTCACATTGGCTACTTTTATCCTTTTGTGACGCGAGCGGGTAAAAGCTAGTTGCAAAATAAATATACTTTGACTTTACGTCGACAAATCAATGCCCATGACGTTTTTTGTCCATTTTACAAAATTAGTTAGATCATTATAAGGAAATATGGGGGTTGTGTGTGTCGGGGGTGGACTGGTATCAGCTCTGCGGAACAACTTTTCCATCTGGCCAATGACAAGGACCAATTCAAAAAGTTGACGGCCAACCTTCAGGAATGAACAGGGTTACCTGGAAAGATTTCCGGGTGTTCTGAAAATCAGCAATTTTATAGATTTTAATGTGCTCTTTCCGATTTCCATTTTGCACCTTTCAACGTGGGCCGATTGTCGATTTTCAAAACTCCCGGAAAACATTCCAAGTAAAACTACCAAATTATTGAACTAAGTACTATTTAGCTATTATATTAAATACTAGCTTCTGCCCGTGACTTCGTACGCGCAATCCCGTTTTCTCCCATTCCCGTAGGATTTTCAGTTTATTTTTCTGTCATAAGAACCTTCTCCGGACAATAACAAACACAACAAAAATAAATCAGCCAAATCGGTCTAGCCATTCTCAAGTTATGGCGTGACAACGGGAAACTGGTTTCATTTTTATATATTTAAATAGATGTCTATATTGACTTACAAAAATACGAAACATGAACCATGTTTGGACTTTGTCCTCTGTCATTGGTGAATTTACAAACATATAGCTATGTCACAGCCAAACTTAATAATGTTTGCAAATAATTTGGCTACACGCAGATTTCTAACAAAACATTACTTGACACAAAATCTAAAATTTTTATTTGTACTATTTCTTTTTTTTTCAGAAAACTGGCGTTCGGTGCTGAGTACAGAGGAGAACGTTGATTTTTTTAAAATGATCTGCAATGCCCGTACTGAGGAGAAACACCGCCTTATTGATCAGTATAATGACCAGATACTAGGCATAGCAGGATCCTTTAGGACCCTGTCTGTAGACTAGAGGTTTTAGAAGACATAATTGAAGATAGAATTTCTTAATGAACCAGATGATAACTCAAAAATAATTTGTTATTCATTTAAACATAGTTGACTCACATAAAGACACGATACCTATGTAAAATTGTAATAGTAAAGCTATATTTAAATCTACAATACCTAAAGATGAACGATTGGATTGTTCATTGGAAATAAACAATCGCCTAAAATGATGGCTCGATTGGATTTTTTTTCACAAATCTAACATAGCTAGTTATATTCCCGTATTTCTACAATTTTAGAGACACCTAATAGTACAGTAAGGACTCAGATTAGGTACTACGTAACGCTAACTTTTAATTTTTCACGGTTCATGACAGACGGATCACCTGATGGTAAGCGATCACCGCCGCCCATGGACACCTGCAACACCAGAGGAGTCACAAGTGCGTTGCCGGCCTTTTTAAAAGGCCTTGAAGGTTTGAAGGTCGTATCGGTTCGGAAATACCGCCAACGACAGATCATTCTACAATTTTGCTGTGCGAGGCAGGAAGCTACGTGAGAACGGCACAGTTGTGGCCTGAATGCATATGTATATTTTATATATCCAACTTTTAATTAAGAGGTGGTTTAGGGATCCATTAGTACCTCAATAAATGTCAGTGTGTACTTATGTATATTAAGCAAAATGATTTTAAATAGAGTAATTCAGCTTTTTTAGCCATATAGAGAACATTAATCAATCGGCACTGTTAATGGATATTTACAAATTCTTAAGAAAAGTACTTATAAAAAGAAAAAACTTAAGTTTATCTACTTTAAACTGTCTGAGAGTTATTCAAATACTTCAATACTAAGAGTGTTTTTTGATGAGAATATTAAAATATTAATAATTTATTTCATTGACTTGGTAAATTCTGCAATAAACGATCACACTTGCTATGATCGAATTGGTCAACCGTTGCAAGTTGAGACTAAATAAAATATGGTATTTGTTGTTTAAAGTACAGATATGCACATAATATTCCCCTTCCCCAATTACCCAATCCCCGAACACCCAACAACCCTCAAATTTCTGATCCCCAAAAGGCCGGGAACGCACTTGTAACGCTTCTGGTGTTCCAGGTGTCCATAGGCGACGCCGATTGCCTACCATCAGGTGATCCGTCGGCTCATTTACCGGCTTAAGGCATAAAAAAATCCCCGAATCCTCAAAAATCCTCAAATTTCTGATCCCCAAAAGGCCGGTAACGAACTCGTAATGCCCCTGATGTTTCGAGTGTCCATGGGCGACGCCGATTGCTTACCATTAGGTGATCCATCTGCTCTTTTACTGGCGGTATTTCATAACAATATATGTACAATTGCGTATTTAAAACTTTATTTACTTTATTTTATTTCATTGTATGTACACCTTTTCTTGCCTGTCAAAGGAAGAAATTATTTCAGGAACAAGCAGTATGTATCTCATGCTTATCATACGATGTCCTTTTTATTATTGTCTGTTGTGTACTGTACACGGCCACACATCAATCTATACAAAACCAGTTTATCCTGGTGTCGCGTCGCATCATCTTTCCGCACATTTAACATTCAGTTTATACTGGTTATGTAAAGCTCGATGTGTAGCCCTGTGTACATAAAATTCTTACTAATATTATAAATCGGAAAGTGAGTTTGTTTGTTACGCTTTCAAGCCGTAACTACTAAATCGATTGCTTTGAATTTTTACAGACGTAAAGTTAGAAGTCTGGATTAAATATCTATAATACTTTTTATCCCGGAAAAATTTTATATTCTCGAGGAAAAACGAAATTATTGGTATAGATGGCGCTGTGTACTGTGTATTGGTATATGTCACGTAGGCTACTTTTTATGTCGTTTTTTTTTATGTCGCGGAGAACCTAACGGGTAACCGGGGCTCCGGCTCGACGTACAGGAGAAGGAACGGGGTGGTTTTTAGTCAGTAAGAGTCTGACACTCCCTCCCGCCTCACCCAGGCGGGAGCAGTCATTCAATGATTTTCCCCTCTTAAAAAAAAGGCTACTTTTTATTATATATTTAAGGGGGGCGAAGTTGCTCGCGTCCGTAGGAGTTACCACCTTATCCTAAGGCCCACCCTACACGTGTCCCCCGGGTGGTGCTAAACGAGCGGCTAAATAACGCCGGGTCTTAGGCGGCGGTTAATTAACCTGACTTAGCTATCCTAACAAGATAGCCTTTGTGGAAGATAGGAAATGATCTTCACAACCCGCAAATCCGTCATTCTAGTGACGGAATCGGGGGCATTGACTTCATTGTCCGTGTCAAGAGGTAGACAGCCTCTATAAAAACTTACCCTAATTCTAAGGTGGGAAACGCGCCGACAGAATGCATGGCTTATAGGGAGTTAAGTCACAAGCGCCAACCTCGACGGACCCGGCAAACGTCGTTGTATACAGCCTTCTTAAGGGAATAGGCGTCACCCCTTAAGTGACCACATATTTCGACCTGACTCGTGGGAACAACATGAATGATAATATTAAAAACAAAATTAACCCCAACACTATGGTACAACAAACATTCCATAAAAGCATGTTTATAAGAAATCGGTGTAACAGTATGTCCGCCATAGAAACACTGGAGCAACCAAATCTACAAAACTTAACCCAAAATCAAAAAGAAAACTACACTAAAGCCACGCCTGGAACACAAGGAGACTTAATCGTGAAACAGAATCAAAATCCAAATCAAGACTGGCAACAAGACAAAGTACCTGAAATAAGAAAACGGAAAAGAAACGAAAATAGTCCAACAAGTAATGATATAATTAAACCTGCAAGTAAACGAACAACTTACTCTATCTCTACACAAAATCAGTTCGAAATTCTTAGCGATGATGATAATGTGTCAGACAAAAAACCGAAAGAGTTCATCCCAAAACCAGAACCTATTTTTGTTACTGGCATTGTCGACATAGTGCCACTCAAAGCTCTCCTAAACAGCGTAATCGAACATGATAAATACACATTAACTACCCTAAAATCCGGTCACATCATTAAATTAATGCCAACTGACATTGAAGCATACAAAGTTATAAGAAACAACCTTATTGAAAATAACATTAATCATTATACTTATAAACTTAAGTGCGAGCGAGCATATAGAGTGGTTATAAGAGGCCTCCACTCTAGTGAAGATACTTCCTTTGTAAAAGAAGAACTAAGGGCAAATGGACACGAAGTTAGGCAAATAGTAAATGTATTACATCGCACAACCAAAGAAAAACTCCCAATGTACTTCCTAGACTTGGAACCAAGGCCCAACAATAAAGACATCTTCAATCTTAAACATATTGGTCAAGTGAAAGTCACGATCGAAGCACCTTACAAGAAGAAAGAAGTAATACAATGTAAGAGATGCCAGAGATTTGGACACTCAAAAAATCAATGTTTTCGACCATTTAGATGCGTAAAATGTGGGAATGATCATCCAACTACTACATGTACTAAAACTCCGGAGACAGAACCTACATGTGTTAACTGCCATGGCAAACATCCGGCAAGCTATAAGGGATGCTCAAAATATAGAGAATACAAAGAAAAGATACTTAAAATCAAACCTAAATCCAACAATATACAGGTCAAGACTACAAAAGAACCAGATCAAACAAATATACACAACATGAATGAAACCTTCAAAACAACTTTACCCAAGAGAAGTTATTCAGATACGCTAAAAGGTAAAAATGGAAACCATAATAACAACACCCCATACATTCCTAATGAATCAGGACATATAGCCAGCCTATTGGACACCATGTTCAATAAATTTGAAGCAATCATGAAAAACATGATGGACAGCATGATGGATCGGATGATCCAACTTATTACACAGATAGTGACCCAGAGGGCCTAAATATCCGGCTGATTACCTGGAATGCCAACGGACTAACTGATAGGAGGCAAGAGCTTGAACTGTTTATGAATACTGAAAACATTGATATTGCTCTAATATCTGAAACGAGATTCACACGTCAATCATACATTAAAATACAAAACTACAGCATATATAGGACTGAACATCCATCTGGAAACTCGCATGGAGGGACAGCCGTTATAGTCAAAAGTAATATAAAACACCACGTCCTTGAACCATATAAAACTGATAAAATACAAGCAACCTCTATTTGTATTCAGCATAAATCGGAATTGACTACTGTGTCTGCTGTGTACTGTCCACCAAGACATGTAATATCCTCTGATGATTTCAAGATGTTTTTCAGCCAATTAGGCACACGTTTCATCTGTGGAGGAGACTGGAACTCCAAACATACTAATTGGGGTTCAAGGCTTATCAATCCTAGAGGAAGACAACTATATAGAAGTACACTAGATCTAAAACTGGAATGGATATCCCACAGTCAACCTACATACTGGCCCACAGACCAAAACAAGATACCTGACCTATTAGACTTCTATATAACAAAAAATATTGGCAGAGGTTACATAAAAATAGAAGCGTGTGATGACCTATCTTCAGATCATACCCCAGTAATCCTAAATGTGTACAAAAAAGTTATCCTGCAAGAAACTACCATCAAACTACATAATCATAAAACTAACTGGAAACAATTTCAAGAAATGGTCAGTGAAACATTAGATCTAAAAATTAAACTAAAATCGCCAGAGGACCTAGAAATAAGCATTCAAAAATTCAATACAGCTATTCTTACTGCCGCCTGTCTAACTACACCTACACAAAAAAACCCTAAATTAAAACTGAAAAACTACCCCAAACTAATAAGAGACAAAGTCCAAGAACGGCGAAAATTGAGGAAAGAATGGCAACAAACAAGGTATCCTTCAGATAAAACCAAGTTTAATAAAATTACAGAAGAAATAAAGATACTTATCAAAGATCTGGAGAATCACACAGTGCAGAGTAAATTGGCCCACTTAACTCCCCATAAAGACACCAAGTATTCACTTTGGTGCGCAACAAAGAAATTGAAACGACCGGATATCCATGTTCCACCATTAAGGAAACAGGACAGGGACTGGGCTAGATCCGATCTAGAAAAAGCAACAGTATTTGCTGAATATCTTCAGAGTGTCTTCAAACCTTTCCCCAGTAATAACCCAGAAACTGATAAAGAAATTATAACCTACTTAAAATCTCCTTACCAGCTTTGTGCACCTATTAAACCAGTAAGTCCTAAAGAGATAGATAAGATGATTATGGCTCTGAAATCTGGAAAAGCCCCTGGATATGACCTTATAGACTCCACGCTGATGAAAAACCTGCCGAGAAAAGGAATAATCTACTTAGTAAACATTTTT